GACAATCTTGGAATAAAAGCTTCCAAGATGCACTTTATGCATACATATCATGGATATAGGGATATATGTTTACTATTTATTTAGATGCTGGCATACAATATCTTTTCATTGTTATATAAATTTTAGTATTTCTATGGTGTAGTATTTGCTGAAATAGAAGATGATCAGATGGATGTGTTGTGTCAAGACAAGAAAAGGATGCATCATTTTAGACAGATTAGAAAATAAGTTGTATCAAACAGCATTTGATAGAAAAGAATAAAGTAATTTTGGTATCAGCATGTAGAGAGGTAGTAGTTTTAGGAGAAAATGGTTGTGGTAAAAGTAAGTAAACTTGAAGAGAGTGCTTTACATATTGTATGAATGAGCTTTAGTTATGGAGAAAAAATGTTCTAGATTGTTTATATTAGAAAAACAGCATAAAAGAGGTAGGCTAAAGCCTGAATGATGATAATGATGATGATGATGATGATGATGATGATGATGATGATGATGATGATGACGATCATCATCATCATCATCATCATCATCATCATCATCATCATCATTATCATTATCATTGTTTAATTTTGTAATTTATTCTTTATCATTTCTTAAGATATTTTTTTCAGTTTACGAATTGTTTTTGTTTTTTTTTCATTTTTAGTTTAGTTTGGTATTTTTAGTACATTTAAAAAAAACATAAATTATCAAAACATGCAAAGAGCTGTGGCCAAGTTGTCAAAACCAAATATTATATGCATGATCAGATAAGGCATGTAAACCCACACCTCTCTTCATAAAAAATTTATATATATGTGTATATATATATATATATATATATATATATATATATATATATATATATATATATATATATACATATACAGGCTTGGACAGGAAATGTGTGCGATCGCACTCTGTAACTGACCACACTAATAGTTTTTTTTCTTTACAACCTGACCACGGCTATTTTGATGTTTTAACAATTTAAATGCAATAAAAAGTGTTACGTTGTGAATAACCTTTAATCGCTGATCTTTTCTAAAGTTTTCATTTTAAGTGAAGGCTTTAAAATAAAACCCTATAATTAATTCTTTTTTTAATGATTGTTTACATAAACACGTGTGTAAATTATTAAAAAATGTTATATATAAATTTTTTTATGTAGGAATGTATTTTTCATGAAAAATTTAAACGTTTGAGACTATTTTCCGATGTTTTCCTAAAAATCTTTTAAAGTATTAAATTTAGCAAGATTTTTTTAAAGTTACTTTAATTTATGAATAAGTTCAAAACCTTTTGCGACTACCAGCTTTTACACATTTACATTTACCTTTTAAATGTGAAATATACAAGAATATAAAATAACTTTATTTACTTATATCAGCATATATTTTGTAATGTTCATATGATTAATTTTTATAATTAAACTAACAATTTTTTAAAATCTTTTAAAAGCAAAGATTTTATTTTTTGAAATAAATTTTTTTTTTTTCAATTATGATAGGAATGAATGAGTTAAAATCATTTATATTAATTTTTAAATTCGTTATGTGAAGCGCTTATTAATAAAGTTGTAATGCTCAAATTAAAGTTAAATTAAACTAAATAGGCACATTTTATTTATTTATTTTTTCCAATTTTTACGAATGATAGAGTTAGAAAACTTTTTTTTTAACTAGACTTACTAATTAGAACACTAAGTTATTTTTTTAAACAAATTTTTTTTTGCAAATTTTTTGAAAAAATAAATGTTTACAATTTAAAAATGTTAGATGCAATACTTTTTAATAAATTTGATAACATTTGTTCATTTATTAAACAAGCATTAGTAATTTGCCACTTAATTTAAAAGCATTTTGCGTAATTTTTATAAAACCTTTAAAAGGATTTATTTCAAACGTAATTAAAAACGTAACAAAAAGTTTTTATTTTTAATTTTTATTTTAGTGCTTATATAATTTCTTTTTCGTAAATAATTTTTTTTTGTTTCTTTTTTCGTTAGGAATTTTTTTTTTCGTTAGTTTTTTTTTTTAACTTTTTTCCTAGTTTAAGTTTAACTTAGCATTTCAACATTCAGCGCATTTTTGAAATTTTTAAATCATCAAAACAAAGCAATCGTGGTCGAGTTGTCAAGAAATAAAATCATTTGCGTGGTCAGCAATAGTGCTCGATTGCACGCCATTCCTGTCCAAGCCTGTATATATATATATGCTGGCATGCTGACTTTAAAAAAGTATCTATATATATTTATTTATATTTAAGGTGTTTCCTGACCTTAGGCTTTGGTGCGAATCAAGAAAGTTACGTCTTGTGGAATGCGACTTAAGATGGGTAAATATTTTGGTATTTTTGGAAATTTTTAGTTTACAAGTGTGTTTTTATATATACAGCCCTCGGAATTAGAAAAGATAGGTTAACTAAAAATTGATGACCTAAACATGTTTTAGTTTGGCATTGCAGGCCTTCTCAGGAGACACGTGCGTTCGCACGCCTTGAATGACCACGCATATATATTTTTTTGTTGATAACAAAGCCGGCACGATAGGAGTGTGTGTGTGTGTGTGGGGTGTGTGTGTGTATGTGTGTGACCCCCCCCTCATCAATGATTTTTAGTCGGCAAATTTGACCCTTAGTTGGCAAATGTGACCCTTTTTGACTAGTTAGTCGGTAAATGTAGACTCTGTCGATTAAGTCAGTCGACAAATTTCGTTATGGCAGTTGGTAAATTTTAAAAAACGAGAACCTTTTTTTTTTTTTTTTTGTTATTTTTTAAACGGCAAAAGTTGTTAAGGCACCCCCACCCACGTGACCCCTATTCGCGCCGGCTCTGCTTAGCAGCATTATAAAAATTCAATCTTATAAAAATAAAGCAATACACATAAACGTAAGAAGTGTAAATAGAAACCTCAACAAACCAATTACTCAATTAAGTAATAATAAAGATGTAAAACTAAAATATTTTTCTGAAGTTACTCTTGGTCTTGCGAAAAAATTATTTCCGGTTTGAAAACTTTCATGAAAGTTATGAAAAATCACTCAGGAAGAGTGCCACCAGTTTTTAAAAAATTTCTTTGTTAATTATTTTTAATGAATGAGTTCAATACTTATTCAATTCTTTTGTTACGTAACTCTAACTCATAATAATAGATAAAAAAAAATTATGATAACCGCTCGATAATGTAAGCGATGTAATTTAAGTAAAAAATACAGTATTAAAAAAACAAGTTTATTTTAAAAAAGTTTTTATAAAAATTTTAAATTGGTATAGAATTATCTGCATTTTGTAAAAGTTTCTAATACAAACTGATTTACTGATTCGCAGAAATGAGACCTATAAGTTGAATTTGTTTTTTTACCTTGTTTTCCGTGTAACATCAGTGCAAGTGCCATTTTTAGTAATAAGTTTGCTTTCTTTCGGCCGAACACAAAACTTTTAAGCTTATTTTATTTATTAGACTAACAGCTTTTATACAAAATTGCTAAAAGTTTAATTTAAAAGTTTAAATAAGCTAATATTTGGTAAAGTTATTGCGCGTGTAACGTAAGTTAAAAACGGAAATGTCTACATATGTTATTTTAATGTTTCTATTTTCATATTAATAACTGTAATAATGAATTATTAATAATAATTAAGAAAAGATGAGCAATTAATTTTGTTTTTTCAGCGCGTTTTTAAGCTGCGTCATTTTTAATAAATGCAAAAAAAATCGTGGCCATGTTATCAACAAAAAAATATATATGCGTGGTCATTCAAGGCGTGCGACCGCATGGGTCTCCTGAGATGGCCTGCATTGAGTAAGCACAAAAAAAAAAAGCAAATGCCGAGTTAGCCAACTTTTATTTCAAACATCAACATTTGCTTGAAAATTTAAATGTTTTGTTGATTTTAATACAACGTTAATTTTTTGTTATTAATTAAATTTTTTTATTTACAATTTAAATAAAAGTTTTCCTTTTTTTTATTAGCATGTTTTAGTTTAGAATTTAATTAAAATTTTAGTTTTTATTTAAATAAATTTTATTTAATTTAAATAAACAATATAATTGTCGTTTACAAATTTGTCTGTGCAGAATGTAAATCCTGTTATATTGGCGAAACTTCTTGCCACTTAAAGACACAAATGATTGAACACTACAGAAGGGATAAAAACTCTCTCATTTATAAGCGTCTTCACTCAAAAGAAAAATGTTTTACAAATTATAATGATGAATGCTTTTTCGATTTTAAATCGTGTCAATAACAAAATTAAATTAAAAATTAAAGAAAGTATTGGAAATTTCCTTGGCAACTTTTGGAATGTTCAGCTACAGCTGAGTTTTCCCCTTTACCTTGTTCTGCACTTGTTTGATGCTGGCATATACGAAAGATATCTTCAGTCCTGTTTCACCAACATATTATTTGCAATGAGAAATTGCTACTGGCAGTAAAATTACTGGTGTAAATGATTGTCAATGTTATTGCCCTCTAAAAATGTTATGCGGAAGGGACCTACAGAAATTTTTGTTGAAGGTTCAAAGATAAGAATTTTTCGTTGTAGAAAGCTGTGGTTCAGAATGTTTTTGAACCTTTAACTAAAAAATTTGTTTCTGACAACCTTTTATGTCTTGAGAATGTTATTGATGCGGAAATTTAAAAATAAATTCAGGGCATGGATATCTTCAAAATTTGATTCAGAGAAGTTTTATAACATTGAATTAAAAAACATTTTACAACTCTAAATTTACGGCTGTAAAAATTCTCAAAGGAAAGTTTCAGCTGGTAGCATTTTATGCCAGTAAAAAGTTTTATAACATCAAACCTATTTCACATAATATATTTTTGTGAAATATATATTAAAACAATTAGGTGGTGGGTGTGTTTTTTTTTGTTGAATATTTTGGATTACTTTGGGCATGATTTAAGTTTAAAGAGAACTTGACTCATTCATAGGGCAGGACATTGCAACAAGCAAAATGAGAAAATAACCTATGCAGTTATCTCAGTCTTGCTAGTTAACCCAAAGTTGTAACTTAGAACTCCTTATATTGCCTAAACAATTTACACCAAAAACATTAACAAGGACACCATCCATGCGCAGAGTATTAATAGTGCCACAAGGCACTGTTAATACTCTGCATTTTACAGCTGTTATAATGGAATCAGGCTCTATAAGGGCTACCACTGAGTTCATATAACCTTACTAGCAGAACAACACTTACTCAGAATCATTAATATGAGTTTTAGACCTGTACCATAGAAGATAACAGGGAGATTTGCATTATCAAGGAGGCACAAGCAAAATCTATAAATAGAATCATGAAGATCCAGCATTCATCATCCTTGGCAGGAAGCAATGTAACAAAGGTTTAATCTATGCTCTCCTAATAGATAAAAAAGGGGTTCAAGGCTGGTCAACTAAGTTATTCTGCTTATCCCCAAAGTCTTTACCTAATAGGCCTTCTATATGGCAGAAGCTGGATGCAGTGAACATCTGCCCAAGATAAGTATTTTTATTGAGACACCATCTCTAGCTTTTACTCAATTACAAGGCAGTAGATTTTTATGTCAGAGTTTGTTTCTTCTAGCCTTTGTCTAAAAAAAGCAAACTCTACAAGGTAAAAAAAACTCTACATACCCTATGCCTTGGTGGCATAGGGTATATTTAGTACTAAGTTTTATGACACCAGTAGCAAGGTGATTGTGATAATCCTGAACATGACCTGACCTGGAGTAGTTAATGAAGTTATTTTTTTCAGTTATTTTAAATTATTATTTTTTTAGTTATTTTTGTTATGTTCGCATTAAAAGTATGAATAAAATATTTCAGATATTATAAGCTTGCCTATTGCTATAAATCATTTTTGTGTTATATTTATTGATATTAAATGATTAAAAAAATTATTTTGTATTATTTAACTATTTCACAACCGCAAGTCACTGACAGCAGCTTTTGATTTTTTTAAAATTTTGTAATTATATAACGCTATCACTTGACAAAGTGAACAAATTATATAACGCTATCACTTGACAAAGTGAACAAATTATATAACGCTATCACTTGACAAAGTGAACAAATTATATAACGCTATCACTTGACAAAGTGAACAAATTATATAACGCTATCACTTGACAAAGTGAACAAATTATATAACGCTATCACTTGACAAAGTGAACAAATTATATAACGCTATCACTTGACAAAGTGAACAAATTATATAACGCTATCACTTGACAAAGTGAACAAATTATATAACGCTATCACTTGACAAAGTGAACAAATTATATAACGCTATCACTTGACAAAGTGAACAAATTATATAACGCTATCACTTGACAAAGTGAACAAATTATATAACGCTATCACTTGACAAAGTGAACAAATTATATAACGCTATCACTTGACAAAGTGAACAAATTATATAACGCTATCACTTGACAAAGTGAACAAATTATATAACGCTATCACTTGACAAAGTGAACAAATTATATAACGCTATCACTTGACAAAGTGAAAAAATTATATAACGCTATTACTTGACAAAGTGAAAAAATCTTGAGTAATCCTTGATAAAAAAAACTTCTTTAAATTTAGTTCTAAAATAAAGCAGTGTTAACACTGTAAAATAAAACTTGTAGAAGTGTATAAGTATTTTGCTCAGTTATTACAAAAGTCTTTTGAAGAAAAACTTTTTTTTATACATTAAATAAGTTTTGTTTTGGATGCTTGCTTACCAATTGTTTAATGACACATGTTAATAACTTATTTAATTCAAAAGTTCATTTGTTTAGCTTTCTATTGATATATAGTTAGAAAATTGTTTTATTGTCAATATAGGTAGTTTTTTGAATTTTAATGTTAAGAGACAGGTCTTAATGTAAAATACTTGCCTAATACGAAATATTAAATAATGTTCTTTGTGCCATCTGTCTTGAATTATTATCATAAAATATTATTAGTAGCTTTAATTTATAAAAAAGCTGCCTGTAAATTTGTTCAGTGTAAATGCTATAAACATTTTCGAACTGAAAATTAAAGAATTTGTCAAATATCTCTAATAAATGGTGTTGTTTACCAAATGTCTCTATCAAATGGTGTCGTTTACCAAAAATTATTTATCAGTTAAAAATTAAAGAATTTTTAAATTGTCATTTCGATAAGAAGACAAAATTGTGATAGCAATAAGCGGCTTAGGTAAACTAGAAAAAAAGTTTACATTGTTTACATAAAATGTAAAAAGGTTCAGAATATATAGTATGGTGATCAACTTTTTTATATATTTATTATATTTAAGAGTGTATCATAATAGACTTAATTATATTTCGTTCTTAAAAACTTTATAAAAAAAACATTCTTTTGTTTAGCTTATTATAAATTTAAATGAAAGTCATATGATTGATAATAAATGCTTATTTTAAAAAACAAATAATATTGATTCAAAAATAAAAATTGATTTAAAAAAAACAACCTACAATGGCATCATATAGTAACTCTTTGGAATTAAATGCGCTCGAATAAATTAAAAGTCTGTAGATTGCATGTATATTTTAAAGACTCAAAGGAACTGGCTAACATGGAAACAGCATGCTTAGTAAGCGAGTATAATAACAAAGTTAGTTTTTTTTTATATAAGTTTATCATTTTGTTTTATTCAAAAAAAATTCAGCCCAAACATATTTTATCATTCTCTTTAATATGAAAACAATATGTCTCTGCACTTTGGGATCCCTTAAACAGAAAAATAAAATATGAATTGAGGAAAAGATTCCTATCTAACAATCAACATGGCAAAAATGAACAGGTCAGATTCGGAAGACCTTTTAATGAAAAGTGATTGTAATGATTCAGATGCAGATAACAACCCTTTTTTAGCAGTTGATATTAGCAAAGTTATGTATATAATTAATGAGGCATCAAGATATACTTTTTATTGAGTTTATCATACAATAATAGAGTTTCTAGCCTCTATGTTATTTAGGCAGGTTTTCCTCTTCTAGTTTATTTAAAACTGACATGCACTTTTTTATTGCAGATTTAAGTATTGGGGATCAATATGTTGAAGAAAATGCAAGATCTATATCTATATTAACAGGAGTTGATGGTATGTACTAATTGTCTAAAAATAAATAGGCTTATACAAGAAATTTTTTAGTCCCTATTGTGATGGGCTAAGACTGATTTTTTACATTGTTTTAGGCCTAGCATTAGACTAGCTTGAATCATTTATTTCTTTTCTTATTAGAAAATAATTTTTACCTAACATTTTTATTGCAGATTCAAATGTTAACCTTGTTGGAGAAGTAAGAGAGGATAAGAGCTTCTCCCAGCAAGTACGAGAAGAAACCCAGTTTCTTTTGAGAAAAAAAAAAAAAGAAGTCAGACAGACATAGTTGTAAGCGAGTTACTCATCCTGAACTACACAAAAGAAATATTCTGAAACAGAAAAGGTCAACAGGGGAAGGATATGTTACAACAAAGGGCAAAGTAGTTGAATCAAATATTTTTACTAACAAAGATTGTGATAATAAAAAAGAAAGTGATGAAGACACCGAATATCTTCAAAGATCTATTCACTTATTTCCAAAGTACCAATCCCACTATAACTGAAAGGATAGCCAGTACAGAAATTATTTGCCTGCAACTTTAAAATGTCGACAATGTACGAGAAATAAGTTTGCAATATTAGATACATGTCAAAAATGTGATCTATTTAATAATAAAATAAAGTGTCTTTCAGAGGGTGAAGAAAAGAACACTTAGGAGGGACCTTATTATTTATCATTAGATGGCTGTAAAGGCAAGTGAAAAAATGAAAGAAGATACATTAGATGCACATACCAAACAACAGGGTATTAGTTTTTGACTTACAAAAACCTCTACTGACACTAGTGCTTAGTACAGGGATAGCCTACTATAAAAGGCAAATGCGGACAAATATTTGTTCCAGATCACTGGATAGATCTTATTAAAAATGCAAAGAAGAGGGCCCCAAAATTTATTGTAAGAAAAATGGAGACCCATAAATTTCTCAGTACAAAACCATTGGAGAGTGGGATATGCGGTAGTGGTGTAGTGGTAGAGCGCTCGCTTCATAAACAAGTGGTTCCGAGTTCGATCCCCACCACGTCCCTGGTAGTACCGCGCTCAACTCGTTTCTCCGCGCAGCGGCCTTGTTCGTCAAGGTTCGTGTTTCAGAGTTATAGAGTTGAGAGAGGGTTATAGCCACAAAATAAGTACCCTCCTCGTCTGTAGTGGCCTTCTCAGCCTTGAGGAGGTGAAGTAAAATAAAAAAAAATATATACAGTAGAAAAAAAATTAATAAATAGCAAAAACGTTTCATGGCTAAAGACATGCTGGATAAAGTTGGAAAAAGGATCACCACGCTTATTTCAAATGCAGCAAACACATTTAGAAAGTGACACATTTATGTTGCTGGATGTAACAATGCAAAATTGTGGACAGCTATCTGGCACCATCAACACTGAACTTGAGACCTTGTACCCCAATGGTAGAAAACTCACAAAAGATAAAAGAGTGATTTTTTTGAGCTAATATTCATACTGCCTGTCCATTATCCCTATTATCTTGCTCTTAAAGGCGACTGACTGGCAACTGATTTGGGTCTAACTGATGATTCTGGTGATGAATACATAAATTAGTGAATCTTACATATATAAAAGACTCATTAACAAGTCATAGACAAAACATCAGTTTAGTCTAACCAATTCTATTCATGATAATTTTAAAAATGTGAAGAAGCAAAATTGCCTAACCTTTTTGTTATTGCAGAATACAATTATATAATGTCCTAATTTTTTTAGTAGATATACGAGTGTATTTTTTCACCTGTTTTTATAATAAATACTATCCATCTGATAATCATACTTTTTCTTGTTATTTTTAAAAAGTCTTTTTCAGATTACTAAAAATAAAGTAATTGCGGCCACTTTTCCCCTCATAAATAAAGTAATTGTGGCCACTTTTCCTCTCATAAATAAAGTAATTGTGGCCATTTTTTCCCTCATAAATATTGGCCTTGTTAAGAAGTGTTACACCAAGTGAATTTTACATACAAAATGGCAATTTCACGAATGCCTTAAACTATTTACATTACAAAAAAACTTTTTTAAATTAGATTATTTTTAAAATCTTTTGAAATAGATTATGCAGAAAACATCAAGCAGTAATTAATTGTTGCAAAAAACATTTTCACCTCAATTATGAAAGAATTTTATTTATGATAAAAAAACAGTTAAATTTTTATTTTCTACTTTTTGTTTTTAAATGTTTTTATATTAAATTTATTTTTTTATATTTAAATTAAATTAATTAAATATTAGTAAGTTTAAATTTATTTTGTTATATTTAAAAAAAATTTAAAGCTCTTTGTTTTAATATTTTTTTTACTGTTAAAATTTCTAATTTTTGTTTTAAGGGTGTTCCAAAAGATTCTACGTCAGAAGACACAATTAATATTTGTTTAAGTGAGCTAGATCGCTGCTATGAAGATAACACAGCACCATTTTTTCTTAATTTAGCTGGGTACTTTTTTTTTAATTCAATATTTGTTTAAAAAAAAATTAAAAACATCACTTTCTCAAAACAAAGAGTTCTAGCTATCTGTAGATAAGTTTAGCGTGAACTTTGGTGCGCGTGCAGAATATATACAAAACTAGTATGTAAACCAGTAAAAACTTTTAAATTATTTTTAGATCCTTAAATATACACTTTGATTCTGATTCATATCAGTAAGTGACTTTTTGCAAACCTGGCTCTGACAAAGTTATAAGATTTAGCAGGGTTGATAGCCGGGGTTAGAAAAAAATTTATAATACTTAATATATTATAGTTTTATGCTTACATTTATTATTTGTTAAATACTGGTATTCATTTATATATTTTTAAACTCTAATTTACTTTCAACAAGATTGCAAAAAACTACTATTAAGTTATGAGTTACTTTGAAATAGAGAGTAAGTTAAAATTACTAAAACTAGGAAACTTTATAAATGAAGACTTAAAAAGTTGTAAGTTGTATAAAAAAAGAAAACATGAAGATGGGTAAGAGTTACAAGCATTTTTTGATGTTCAAAGAAAAAAACTGGAATAATAAAAGTTTTTTTAGCATGAAGGGACAGATACAACTTAGAAGGGACAGATACAACTTAATGTAAAAGGATGCAACTTGTTGAATAAATAGGAAAGAAAGAATGAGTTTTTGTTTATCGTTATAGAGATAATAGCTCATTTGAGGATTGACCTTGATCGTATTTGTAGAAAAAGAAAGAAATGCAACCTTACTACAATGGGAGAGTTGCTCAAGCTTGGCAGCAGGTCACATTTACAATGTGCTTTTTGAGAGTAAGAGGGTTGTTTTTCATCAATATAAAAATGATAACAATATTGCAATAATTTTTTGCAGTAAATAAATGAGTTTAGTTGTATAAAAAAAATATCTCAACAAGATAATCTTAGACAGATTAGAAAAAACTTTGTGTTGAACAGCATTTGATAGAAAAGATTATAGTAATTTAGGTATCAGCATATAGACAAGTAGTCAGGGTTAGAGTACTTCAGGAGAAAATGGTGGTAGAAGTAAGAAAACTTGAAAAGAGTGCTTTGCATATTGTATAAATGAGCTTAATTTAAGAAAAAAAAAATGCTCTAGATAGTTTATGTTAGATAAATAGCATAAAAGAGGAAGGCCTGATGATAATGATGATAATAATGATCATAATGATCATCATGCTAATGTTGATCATAATGATGATAATGTTGATCGTAGTGATGATAATGTTGATCGTAATGATGATAATGTTGATCGTAATGATGTTTATATATGCGTATATATACAAAATATAACATGAATTTCGAATAAAAAAAAAGCAGACTCTTGTGTAAAATTATTTTGAATTATTCAAACTTGTACAAAAATTTCTTAAAACATAAAAGTTGTATAGTTGTTAGAAATTGGTATCAAAAAAGTATTTTGGAGGAATATCTTATTTTATTAAATTTTATTAAACAAACACTTTAAAAAGCTAAAACAAAAAGAAACAAAAAAAAAAAAAAGTTTTTAATTTAAATATATATTAAGTATAAATATATTTTTAACATTTATTTGATCATATTTGTCAATAATAATATTTATATTTTGGGAATATTTACTTTATTGTATTATTTAATTATTAAATTATGCAAATTCTAATAATTATTTGGTAATTTTAAAGATTTATTTTGAATTTTAATATTGTTCTGTTGTTAGTGATCGAGCTGGTTGGATACCAACATTTGATGAGTTTTCATACAATTTGGCATTGCAATATGGATGGGTTTATGGATTGACTGTCACTGAAATGGAGATAGTACATGGTGCATTCAGGAAACTTAACCCAAATGGTAATTTTGTTTATTCCAAAAAACAAAGAAAAACATTTATATATATATATATATATATATATATATATATATATATATATATATATGTGTATATATATATATATATATATATATATATATCAGGGTGTAAACTAACCTAGTAAAATTAAGCTAGTAAGCAAATAATTTTTTGCAATGCATTCCAACATCAGCAAATATTATATAAAAAAGTTAACAAGAAATAAAGCACTAATCTAAAAAATATAAAATATTAACAATTTTGTTTGGTTTAACACGATCAAATGCTATTTCTTTAAATGTTTTGCCCTTTTTGGCTGAAAAGTTAACTTTTCAAGTCTTACTGCAAACTCAACTTCAAGTAGTACATGTGCAAATTAAGACTCTGCAAGAGAAAACTTTTGATCTTTTTTGTTTTGTTTATTGTGAAAGTTTGCGTTACGTAAATTGTGGACGATTCCTAAGTCTTAGTTATTGTTTTTCATTTTTTTGTTTGGTATTTTATATCAACTGAATTAGGTGATCATATTTACTAAAATCTATTTTTATTTATCTTCTATTAATTTACTTTTTTAAAAAAACACCTCTGAAATATAAGTTAAATACAAAAAATATTTTATGATTATAACAATCTGGTCAGGGTTAGGGTTAGGGTTAAAAAGTATTAAAAAGTAATAAAAAGTATTAAAAAGTGCTAAAAAGTATTAAAAAGTGCTAAAAAGTATTATGGTTTACTGCTAGCCATTTGTTCTACTAATTTGCTATTTTTTTAATAACTTTCAAAATTTTTATTTTCAATAACATAATAAAAGTTTTTCTGATTCCATTAAAGTTTTATATTTTTAAGATTAAATAATTACTTTTTTCAATTTAGTTTAAGTGTTTTCAATTCTTTATTCATTTCTGTAATTGCTTTTTATTATTTAAATATTGCTTTATAAATATTAATTTGATGATTATAGTATCAATAGCATATTTATCAAATTGATAATAGTTTAAATTTTTATATCAGCTTTATTTATGTTACGAACTGTGGATCATAAAGAATATATACCAGAAGATGTACAGAAAGATTTTTTCAATGATGAACCTTTTTTGAAAGAAAAATTAAAAACACTGAAAAGTGTTATAACAGACACATTCCCAGTATGTTTTTTATTTTATTTATTTTATTAATTTTTATACATTCTTCGTTATTTTTATTTTATTTATATTACTTTTATGTTTTTTTCATTTTTTTTACAGTTTTATTATTTATTTTTTTTCACTCTTTTCTTTTATTTAATTTAGTTTAATAATTTATAACCAATTTATAAAACAATGTTAGTACTTTTAATTTTAGATAAAGTTTTTCTTTAGGAAACAAATGTGAAACACTATACTGTATCTTGTCAAAAACACGATGAAAATGGTGCGTGGTCTTTTACTGGATTATCAGGACCTGACTCTGCTTTTTCAAACACAGTATACATATTTTATGCATAGATTGTATCTATATTTTATTTATGCCATAAATAAAATATTCATTACATTAATTTATTCATTAATTTTATAGATTTATGATTTCTTTCAACATCAAATTGAATTTCTTTACCCACTTGATCCCAGTCCTCAAGATCCTTTACAAATTCAACGAGAAGCTCATGAGGTTTAATTTTTATTAAAATAAAGTTAAAAGTAAAAGTAATAAAAATGTGTATTTTTTTCTCTTATTTTCGATTTTCGATTTTCGCCTCTTTTATGTTTATAAATTATTTAATAAAAATATTTATTTAAATAATTTATAAACATAATATATTAGCATATAAAAAACTGTTATGTATAATTTAAAGTTTATGCAAATAAAAATAACTAAAAGTACTTATATTAAAGCATTTGAAAAATTTCATGTTCTACTACTTTTTTTAAGCAGCAGTTGTTAGCGAGATGAGCCATGTTATATATATGAGCCATATTAGCGGGTTGTTATATAATATGAGCCATATTAGCGCGGCCATTTTTCAAATTTAAGAAATTCTATTGGCTTTTGTGTGCAGTGGTGTATCCAGATCATTTTTGACACTACCACACCTACACTAGTTAAACATCTCTGTTTAATATAAACCACTACTTCAACATTTATGAGTTAAATCCTAAAATTTTGTAATTCAATGTTTAATACGCTTCTGTTTTCATTAGTTACTGTTTTTTTATCCTATTAAAGTGTATTTTATTAGTTTTTATATTCAATCAAAGCATTTAAATTATTTAAATATATATTAATTTCAAACATTTTTTTTTTGGAAAATTAAGTATATTCTATAAAAACATTTTTTAAGAACATCTTCCAAGAAACCACATAATCTAATGGTTCCTATGAGAATAAACTTCAATGTTATAAATTTTTAACTTAAAGTTTTATTAATATTTAAAACAGTTTTATCTAAGTTTTCACAGTTTTTTTTTGTAAGATACTATTAATAGCATTTATTTTTGTTGCAGACTTTTCTTGATAGTCGATCTTCATGTGTTTTGGGTAGAGACAAGCTTCTAACACAAGTATGGCATTAACTTTTTTTTAAACTTTTTTATTTTTATATTTTTAATCTAAAGTTTTTACTTTAAAATTTTTTCTAATTTTATAAATTCATTTTGTATTTAGATTGAATATTATGTTATTAATGGAAATTTAAATAAATCTTGTTCCCCTCTGCTTGTTGTTGGAATAGCTGGTGCTGGAAAAAGTGCTTTGATGGCTAAAAGTGCTCAGCGTGCCATACAACTTTCTAATAAAGGGCAAATTCTAAACATGAAAAGGTTTACTACAAATATATAAATTATTTATGTTAAACATCTATTTTTTAAGTCTGTTTTCTGTAATAATATATTACTAAAAAGTTTTGTTTTTCGATGTTATTTATTGTAATATTCAATAAAATTATCTCAAACAGTTAAATAATAACTTTTTTCAACATGAATCATTTATATGTTCAAGCAACAAGTTAAAGCACTAAATGAACAAATCAAGTCTTAGTCTGCCCACAGCTGCAAAAATTTTAATAGATCAGTGGGTTCAAATAACTTGTAGTTTTAAATGTTTGTATCTGATTATCCCTGTGCTTTCTTACTTCCTTATTTTTATTTTTCGATAAATAAATTTATTTGTGTTTGCATGTTTATAAATAATGTCAACCAGTGCTCAAAATGAGGTGGGAAATTGTTTTGAGGACAATCACACTTTTTGAAGTGATGATGTTATATTGAAATAAAAATTGCTTATTACGCATTTATTAAAAATATTTTGCAATGTAATTCTGCGGTAGTGGTGTAGTGGTAGAGCGCTCGCTTGATAAACGAGTGGTTCCGAGTTCGATCCCCACCACGTCCCTGGTAGTACCGCGCTCAACTCGTTTCTCCGCGCAGCAGCCTTGTTCAACAAGGTTTGTGTTTCGGAGTTATAGAGTTGAGAGAGGGTTATATCCACAAATAAGTAGCCTCCTCGTCTGTAGTGGCCTTCTCGGCCTTAGGGAGGTGAATTTAAAAAAAAAAAAAAAAATTCATAATAAATATTCCATATAGTTACTAATATTAAAATTAAAAATTATTAATAAAATTAAATTGTCAAAATCACAATTAATATGCAATTGTTAAATTTATAAATAATAAAATAAATTAGTTTTGGACTTAATGATTACCATAGTAACAGTAGTTACATTAGTTTTTAGTTATTCAACTTGTATCAGATGACAAGTTGAAAACACTATCAGATGGACAAATGGTAGCTGTTACATCTGATGCTTGAACATCAAGGAATATTAATTCTTATGAACCCCTGACAGCTCATTATGTCAGCAAGAATTTTTAAGCAAACTTCAAATTGCTAAAACTTCATTAGCAAAAACTGGTTTTAAGGTTATATTATTTTGAGGTTATAAATTTGAGTTTATAAATCTCAATATTAGTGGACTTGCTAAAGAGTCAGATAGCATGATTACCTCATTCCTAATCTTTTCCTAATCTTTTTTTTAACATCTTTGCTTCCAACAAGGCTGTAAGTACTACTTTAAAGACTTATAACTTTTTTGTATTTTTCAACAAGTGACTCATTTTTTCTAGAAGTGTTTTCTGGGTAGTTCTGTGCTAAAAATACTGGTTTTTGTTAACTTGTATCATATTAGAAAAAATTTATAGCCTCCACAACTTCGAAAAAAAATTGAAAAATGCTAAAAAAAGGTCAAAATGAAGTTAACTGTAGCAGTTTTCTATTCATCAACAAGTCCTTACAGTTTAGTTTTCTGATTAGCTACTATTATCTGCAACAAATAGGCAAAAAATAAGCTGCTTGTTGCAGTTTAGAACTGAAATATATCTAAAAATGTATTGCTCATTTGACAAAATAGTCCTATTTTCAGCCATTTTGAAATGCTCATAGTTTTTTCTAACACTTTTTATTGATCTAAGCTTAACACCAATTAAGGCCCTAAGATCCAACTATCTGAAAATGCAAACATTTTTTTACTTGTTGCATTCACAACAAAAATGGCAGCATTTTAAAATAACCTTATTTTTCAATTATCAAGAGTTGAGCACAATATTGGAAACCAGCCCCCCTTCCTTCCCCCTAGCCTGCCTAATAGCATATTCAATGGCTGCAACTGATTATAAGTTATTTCTTTAAAAAATAAAAGATATGGTTGATTGCCCCCATGCTGATCTGGTTTTTAATCTTGGTAGGGGTACAAATAACAGGGCAATGACTAACTAAAACTTGGTAATATTGGTAAATAGTGATAATTTAAACATAATTTACACAATTAAGGAGTCGTTTATCTCTAAGTCAAAAACCTTTGTTGTTTTACATAATTAATGTTGAACAATTTTTCATAAGACTTTCATAATATATCAAAGGGATATTTATGATACATCAGGGGGCTTAAAAAATTATTAATTTTAATTAATAATTTCTATAATAAAAATAAATAATGATTAACAAAGGAAAAACTTGAAACTTGTTAGAAACCACTTAAATTATTAGGTTTGGATTTTGCTTTTTAATTGATAATTAGTTGCTAATGTTCAAAACAATTAATAGAGTATAATTTATTTAATCTTTTTTTTTATTAGATAGGAGTAAAACCCTCTTGTGTTTTGGAGCTCAGGCTCATGTAATGTGGCAATAATATCACTAACTGGATACAAATGAGTATCTGGTGTTTTTGGAATAATTTAAATTTGAAATAATTGCCAGCTTTAAATTTGAAATAATTGCCATGTGTAAACAGCTGACAAATATATAGTCGCCTTTAAAATCTATTACCTTTCCACAGAAAAATTCACTAAAATAAAATGCTAATACCCAATCAGTAATATTGATGTCAACATTTACTGACTTTTGAGTATTAATGCAAGTATCATCCAGCATGTGAAAAATGTCAAATGTTGTGCTGATTGATGTTACATAAGTTTTTAAACAACAGGATAGGATAGCGTTTAAACAATAAGATAAGGTGAGAAACCATGATATGAGTGGTTTCCTTTAATAGCAGGAACATTCTCAAATCATTTAGCAAGTACTTCATGGGTGTAACAGCTGTTTCGTTTTCAGAAATATAGAGAAATCTAAAAGTAAATTTTAACATAAATCTTATAATCCAAGAATGTAATTTTTAGAATGCATTTAGTAAGTTATTGTTTTAAAGTACCATTTTCTCTAAAATTTTCCTTATAAAAAACTTTTATAGCAAGAAGTTCAAAGTTTATTTTATAGGATTGACTTTTTATAACTAAGAATAATATAAGCTATTTTCTTTAATTCGATTAAAAGTCCATAACAATATGAGATACAAGACATCCATTGTTTGAAAATTTTAAAAAATTAAATTGCACATACGTTTTTAAAATTTTCTTTAGCAACTAAAAACATGTCCTTTGGTGTCAAAATTTGTCCCTTTGGAGGGACAGGTTATTAATTACTCTTTTCACTGTACCACCTACTTAATCTGATATATATTTAATTTGCATAACTGTTAGAAATATTGATATTTTTTGGTCCAATTTGACTTTAAGTTAATCTCTGTTTTTTTTTTTTTTGCACTAAACCAATTAAAATAGTATGACAGATGGTATTATGGCCATAATTTCAACTGCAATCTGAGCATTTTTGGGTCAATTTTAGCTATATAAAGTTTTCATGAATATAAAGTTTTCATGGTATAAATTAATTACTATCTGTATACTAATACTTTTGTTTATGTTTATTTAAAAATATCAAAATTTTCATATGGCTTTGGCATGTCTTTTTGGATATGTCTTTGGCTCTCTAACTTTTGCTCTAACTAGGATAGTGACATTGTTCATAAAGTTTCACTATGTATCACAGAGTATTATGTGTTCTAAACAAAATAAAAAGCACAACAATTAAAACCTAACTAAAGCACAACTAATAGGGATAAAAAAGTCAAAAAAAAAATACAAAAAGTCATCACATTTTGATTTTTTTATTATTATGTTATTGTTCCCATTTGTTGAAGGCACAAAGTCATCGCATTTGGTTGGCAGACTTTTTTTTTTTCCTATTCTAGGCATAATTGTTTATATAAAGACTTCTCTAGACATTGATTTAAATATTTTTTAACATTTAAATTTAAGAAAGTTTTTTTTTATGTAGTTCAAAGAAGTGTAATGTGTTTTTTCACTTTGTTGGTGCAACGCCACGATCAACAGATCTGGCTTCATTTCTTCAAAGATTAACTAAAGAGCTGCGACCAGAGATGGTATTGTTTTTACTTTATTTGAAATCAATATTTTACGAGAAAATTGCCCTTATTATGATAAACTTTTCATTATTTTTAGCATGAGGTGTTGTGTGATTATTATGATAAACTTTTCATTTTTTTTTAGCATGAGGTGTTGTGTGATTTGGATGCATTATTATGATAAACTTTTCATTATTTTTTAGCATGAGGTGTTGTGTGATTATTATGATAAACTTTTCATTATTTTTAGCATGAGGTGTTGTGTGATTTGGATGCATTAATTACTCTGTCTTACAACTTGTTAGAAAATCCCTTAACTGATCCTGTTATCATATTTATTGATGCTGTTAATCAGGTAATTGTTTGGTTGATGGTGTTAATCAGGTATTTGTTTGGTTGATACTCTATTAAAACTGATTGTAATTAAAATTTATGTAAAAAAAAAAACTTTTCAGCAAACCCAATTTTTTGAACAAAAAAGTGAATAAATCATGGAAGAATAATAGTTCTTATTTTTGTTAATGTTTTTAATAACTTATAACTTTTTTTTAAACTTAATAACTTTTTAATTATAATTAGTCTCTCTCATATATAAACTTTTTGTTTACTTTTTTTTTTTTTAACTAAAAAGTAATTTTTTTTCTTATTTACTACAACTATTCTAAAATTTACCTCTTTTTTTTGTCTGAAATTATTTTCAAAAATACAAAAACTTTCTATAATTTTAAGAAGTGGGGAAATGGCCTTTGATATTCCTCTCCAACCTGAAAAAATTTATAAGGAATAATTTTATTTAATACTATAACTGGTACGCTTCAAATTGTCTTTGATGTATATTAGACACAAAGATGTCTAGCATACATCCATCTAAAGGGTGTACACAACCATTTTTTTTTTGACATTTGTTTTTATTTACTACACAAATATTTTGTGTAGTTGCTTTATAATTTCTGTTATTTTTATTTTCATAATTTAAAATTTTTTTTTTTTGTGTAAAAATATTTTTACTTTGGTTTAGATGGATGAAGATAAACAACAATACCTTAATAGGTGGCTTCCTGAAAACCTTTCAGAGAATGTAAGAGTTGTCATATCTACAATTGAAGGTACATCCAGCCATCAAACTCTAAGAGTCTTTAAAAGCTCTCCAACTGAAATTATATGTGGACCATTAGACAGGGAAAGTCGTCAGGTAAATTTTTTATAATAAGTTATTGCAATAATAAAAAGATATAAATTATTATGTAAAGTATTACTATGTTTGACTCTTTTCATTAAGGCATATATTTATTTGAAAATGAGAAGTTGAGACAAATATCTACTTGAAACTATAGCATTCATTTTTTCATCAACTATTAAAGATTTAACATTGACAAGATTACCAAAAACTTTTATTAGAAATTGTGATATCAACCCTCAGAATTAAGGTCGGCATTCGGCAATGCTGACCTAACTGCCGACCTGAAAGTGTTTGAGGTCGACAAAAAATTGCCGACCTAGTTTCTATGTTTTATGGTTAAAACTTTGTATCAAATAGTTTTTGCCGACCTGATGCCAAGCTCAAAAAGATTGAGGTCGGCAAAATATTGCCAACCTCATTTTTCCTAATTCCGAGGGTTGTAAATATATATATCAACAATTTGAGAAACCTTTGTCTTAGATGTTGTCTTTATGTCTACATGTCTTTTTAAGATGAAATATTTCGTTTAAAGTATATATGTATTTTTAAAGTACATTTTTAGATCCTGATTAACTCATTTTTAGATAAATATATATATATATATATATATATATATATATATATATATATATATATATATATATATATATATATATATATATATATATATGTAGTTTTAGTAACATGTAATTAGTAATGTCTAAGCATATGTAACCTTTATTTCTTATGAAATATTTTTATAATTTAGAAATTGCATTTAGTGCAGGTAAAGCTTTGCATAATACAATCATATTGTACATTATTAAAGTTAGCAGTTCCAAACACTGAAACTGGTGGTTCTCACTTTAATTTATTTCTTGAGTTTTTTAAGTCCTGTAACTGTTTTTATTCGCACTAACAACATTATCTAAGAAATAGGCTTATTAAATATCCATTATCCATTAATTGCATAACAAATGTTATAATACTTATTATTATGATAAATATTAATTATCAACAATTTAAAAAAACCTTTGTCTCAGATGTTGTCTTGATGCCTACTTATCTTTTTAAGACTAAATACACGTTGTTCTAATCTGTTAACATCTGTAGATTCATCTAAAATAAAAAATCTTGTTTTATAGAATTTTTTTCTTATAAATTTAAAAAAAATATATATTTTTGAAGTCTTGAGTTAATTCAAAACTGAAGTTTTTGTTGTGATATGTGTTCCCTAAATCTACCCTATTGCTTTAACCATTAGCACATTCAAAATCTTTTTTAACTAAAACTCTTTACATGTTTATAAATAGTGTTTTTAAGTGTTTCTTTCAATTTTTTGTTAGAGACCAGTTTTTTCTTTTAATAATTTTTTGTTTCTTTCAATTGCTAGGCCATGTAATGAGGTTTGCTATGTTTTTTTTTTACACTTTTGATATGGAAAGATATAGCTCTAAAATTAAAAGGATGCTGTTTTAATTCACTAAGGGTTATAAGTTGCTTCCAATTGTTTGTTGTGAAGTGTTTTTCCAGACAATACTTACAGATCACAACATAGTTGATGCTTTCATTTTCATTCAACTGCTTCTCACTTGCTACTCTTTTTTTTTTGTAATATCTTCACTTTCAACAAGGCTGCAAGCAACCACTATTAGTGTTGGAAGTTACTAGAAGAGAAAAGATGAAGTTTATAGAGCAAAATAACGATTAATAGGCGGCTTAAAAGATTGCTAATTATATGAATCCGAAAAACAAGATGATGGGAGCGAGTTCTAAAGAACTGATGTTTGAGGAAAAACTAGATAAATAAAATTTTTTAAAGCACTTAGTAACAGTCACATTAAAAGGATGAGACCTAATTAAATGATAAGTAACACGAGAATGAATTTTAGTAGATGACACGAGTTCTTTAGAGCAGCATTTGTTATAGTATTTATTGCAACATTACAATGATATGAAAAAGGTTGAAGGTATCATAATGGAACAAAATCTTCATAGTTCAAAACATGGTTTTATTATTAACCATTTTTTTTGTAAATAACAACTGCTGGTTGCCTTATCTTCTGTCTGTTTGCCCTGCCAGTCTACGAAATGTTTATTTTTTATTTATTTCAGTCATCCTTTGTGGTTGTCCTGAACTTTTAGACAACTGTAAAAACAGTAACACTATAGATTTATTTGTCCCTTTATTTTATTTATCAGTTTGCTTCATTAATTTTATAATAACCATAATTTTCAGTCAGTTAATAATAACAATAATTAGTAACAATTCTTGTTTTAAATTTTAGTTGATTGTAGAAAATATTCTTCGTACCTACAATAAAAGGTTGGATGAAGAGCAATTAGGTATGCTTCTTGATAAAGTTGGATCAGCAAATCCTTTATGGTTAACATTAGCATGTGAAGAATTAAGAGTTTATGGAAAGTTTGAAACTCTTATTAATAAAATTCAAGAGCTTCCAGATGACCTTATAAGGTAATTAAAATGATCTTTTAGTTTTTATAATAATAAAGTTATTATTAAAATAATCAATATGTCACCTTGTCAATGCTGCAGTTGAATCGCAAGTGTGGTAAAAAATGTGTCATGTTTTCTTAATTACCATAAGAAGCAACACATAAGGTGTTATAAGTTTGATCTAGAATTTATAGAATAAAGTAACACATAAGGTGTAAGAAGTATGATCTAGAATTTACAGAATAAAGTAACACATAAGGTGTAGGAAGTATGATCTAGAATCTTAACTAAAATAATTATTTAAATCTCTTTTATGTTTCAAGTCTAGAAGAATCTGTATTTGAAAGATTTGAAAGTGAAAATGGTGGTGCATTAATGAAAGCTTGTGTATGTTTACTAGAAGTATCACGTCACGGCTTGCTTGAAACTGAACTTTTAGCCTTGCTAGGGGAAGAAAAAAACATTAAAGTTCCAGATTACAATCCAGAAAGTGAAAAAATTAATGAACTTATGAGTAATTCAAAAAATCAAGAAGAGGCCACAGATGCAGCACAATTAAATATTAATGCTACTATAAAAACAATTTCAAAACGTGTCCAAGATACCTATGTAAATGAAGATTCCCGTGAAAATGAAGAATCTACTGATACAAAAGCAAAACAAAAAGGTTTGTAGTTGTTATTTTTTTTGCATAAAATTTAGTTTTACATAAATATTTTTCAAAGTTTATTTAGTATAGTAAATTTGTTTTAATTTTTTAATTTTTGTTTTAAATAAAGTTAAAAAAAAAAAGTTAAAAAAAAACTTGAATTATGATTTTAATTTTGATTTTAAAAAAATGTTGTTTTTTTTTAAAAAAAAAAACCAGAGAGAGCTAAAGGTAAACAAGTCAACTTTCTACCTGCACGCGATTGGGCAGTTATTTATCGAAATCTTAAACCACTGCTTCGTCCCTGTGGAGATTTAGGTGAAGGGCGATTAGACTTCTATCATCGTTCCTTGAGTAAAGCTGCTCGGAGAAGGTTGATAATTTTTTTTCTTTTTTTTTTAAAGATTTTTATTTCTTTTTTACTTCGAACTTATCATATAAGTTCGAATTCCTTTTCAATTGTTTTTTTTTGTTTGTTTGTTTGTTAGCTTAAAAGTGAAAAGTAAATCCATAATAAAGTTTTTTTAAATTTTTTTAGATTTTGTAAATACGTTATGTAATTAAGTTATGATTGCTTATTTTTTGTCTGTTTATTTTTCTCTATATTATTTTAATTTATAAATTTTCACTAAAAGTTACCTACAATTCCCGAAAGAGAGTTGATTCAGCAGTGACTGAAAAATTTTATCTCTCATTTTTTATATCTCATAATTTTATCATGCATTAGATGGAGGTGAAAAATTTTCACCTCTATCTAATGTTTCTTAAAGTTTCAATTTTAGTTTTAAATCCAGTTTTAAAAACTGATAACAAAAAAGAGAACACTTTGACCCCTCTAACTGTTGTCTAATTATTATCAAACGTCTATTATTATCTCTATTAGAAAATAAAATCAAAAGTGAAATCTTTCAGTCACTGCTGTGACTGAAAGATTTTATTGTTAATGAAAAAAGGAGAGGCTATTACTCTTGACATTGACATATTAATCTAAAGCTTTTGACGAAGTTTAGCATGCTGGTCTTCTCCATAAGCTTGCTTCTATGGTGTATCTGCTAAGTTTTTGAGATTATCCAATGGTTTCTTGCAATAGTGGTTGCTTCCAGGTTTGTTGGGAGTAAATCAGAATAAAAAATATGTGTATATATAATTTATAATAAAAGGATTTGTGCAGAATCTTTAGACAAGTAGTGAAATATTTTTTAGAATTTTCTAGCAAAAATGTTTTTAAGTTGTTTTGAGACTGAAATTATTTAGTTGTTTTATGTTAATATTTTATTATTTTTCAGTTATGAAATTATAAAGAGGTTTTACTTTAATTACGTAAATGGAAAGTTTTCATTTATATGAAAATTTCTGTTTATGTATGTGTCAATGTATGTATGTATATGTATGTATATATATATATATATATATATATATATATATATATATATATATATATATATATATATATATATATATATATATATATATATATATATATATATTGCAGTCATTTTACAACCACCCAAGTTCTAAAAAATTATAATTTTCTATTTAAAACTTTATGTATATCTTAAATACAGCCTATTTGTAATCTCTGATAATAGATAGACAAAAAAAATAAATTTAATACACAGTTGATAGGTTGAATATATTTATTGTGTTTTTCAAATAGTTTTAGTTTAATATGTTTTTAAAAGTTTGCAAGTTTGTTCTAAACTTTGTTTAAAATGTTTGAAGGTTGGATTTCTTTGGAATGCAAGTTTCAGTTTAATAACTTAACAATTTAGTATTTTGATAGTTGTAAATCTTGTTTTGAAAATTATTCATCATATAATTTATAGTATTTTTTAAAATATAATTGATCCTTTTTTTAATATATTATTGACTATACAATATGTTACTATATAATATATAATATTGATATATTTTGATATGTATGTTTTAAAATATTTCTGACTTTTTTTTGATTAGGTATTTTAGTGGTGATGATGAAAATAAGAAACATAAGTATAATTTTTGGCATGGTGTTCTTGCAGATTATTTTGAAGGAGTTTTAGATGTTGACAGAAAAGCTGAGGTTAGTTCAAATATTTTTATAAATTATAGTTTGTTCTTTATACATAAATATATACATATAAAGTTTAAAAATATATAAAGATTTGGTTGATTGATGTGCGTTGCTTTTTGCTCATATTTTATTAACTAATGCAATTTATATAAATTCAGTTCTCTCACTCTGAAAAACTATAAGTAACTACTATATATACTATGTGTGATGAAACGCAGTTTTAAATGAAAAAAGTTTGATTAGAGATTTTCTACTAATTTATTATTGCTCTGTTCTTTTAGAACATAGAGCACTCTATTTTGAAGAATATGTAGAATATATTTAAAATTATTCATATAGATCCTATATATATATATATATATATATATATATATATATATATATATATATATATATATATATATATATATATATATATATATATATATCTCGTAAAGTAATTTTTTAATTTGTTTTGACAAATTTTGACATAAAACATTTAATCATTTATTGAAGTTACATTTAATTAAGCATGATGATATTTTCTTCATTTTTAGGAATTACCCTACCATTTGGAGCAACTACTTGACAATAATCGCCTTATAAGATGTCTTATGGATTGGGATGTATTTGAGCGTTTATACTCTGAAGAGTTCAGTATTGATCTTTTGCATTCTTGGTTACAGGTTTTCTTTTTCTTAATTTGTTGATAAAATTTTTAACTTCTATTTCTCTTTTAGTGTATCTTACGTATGTATATTTTATATATTATATATCTTACATATGTATATTTTAAACAATTTTAGTGTGGGGGCTTTCGAATTGCATCTGCTGTATACCGTGAGCAACTTGGTATTTTAAGACAATCAGATATCCCATTGGTTGTTTATGTAGAAATTGTTGAAAAAGTTTATGGTTTTTTGTAAGTAAATCTTTAAAGTTTTTAAAAATCACCCTTTTATATACATTAACATGTAATTATGATTAGGTAAAAATAGTTAGTACTTATCATAATATTAATTATATTTATACTACATATATACATATACTAATATGTGCTATATATGTACATACATGTATATACTAATATGTGCTTTATACTAAACATACTTTGCTTTTGAAATCATTAATTTACATATTTAATTTTTGGCGATTTTACTGAGTATTTTTAATTCAAAATCTCCATTAATTTGCAAAACTAATAAGTTTTGCGCTTATATTAAAAATACTTATGGAGTATACAAATACATTTTTTCGGGTAAATTAAAAACATTTCTTTGTTAAAAAACTGGTGCATTACTTATTACTTGGATATTTATTGGAAGATGAGGTTCCTTAACCTACCCCCTCCTTCCCAAAATAAAATCAATAACTAATTATGACGTTCTTTTACATAAGTTTCTTTTTTTTTTTTAATTGAATGTGCGAATACAAAATGTTTTTAAAAATATTTTTTTGATTTCTGAAAATCATGTTCAATTAGACATTTTATTTCATTAGTAACACCATTTTATTTCATTTTATTTTATTTCATTAGTAACACCATATTACACTATTATATTGTGTAACATACTAATGTTATTCATACTGTTGTTATTCATACTGTTGCTATTGGTAATATATTGTTATATTTCTCTGACTGATTTCAATTTATGAATGTTTTGCTTTACGCTTGTCAGAAAATGACTAATCATTATTTGCCGCTTCAGGGAGGCCTTCTTCTTGTCAAACTTGTCTTTCAATTATTAGCAAAGAAATTACCCACAAATGTTCCTTAGCTGTACTTAAAAGTAATGTAATGAAAAAGCTTGTTGTATCAAATCTTGGTAAACAAAAGGAAAAGATATAGAGAAATTATAGAGTCATCAAATTTTAAGGCAAGATATGTAAAAGCATTATTTATTATAGCACTAATTTCAGATATACCAGAAACAAATCATAATTTTGACATGGCACTTAACAATCCCTGTTTGAATAAAAGCTTTACTTGTGTGGCAGATATCAAACTCTATCAAATCATGTGTGGTATGTCTCCAAGCTCCATGGCAGCTCATTGATGTTATATTTGTTCATGAAATAGAGATTTTTAAAAATTATTGCACTGAACTATGAATACCAAAATTAAAATGTATAAATCGAATCTGATCAAAGAAAACTACAGTAAAATAATATTTTAACTGTATTAATGAAGTTTTATTAATTGATATAATAATAGATATAAATAATTATATAATAATAGTAAACAAATCGGCCCATTTTTAATTTACTATTAAAAAAGATTAAAAAAGATTTAAATATTTCAAAACCAATAAGAAATGAGTCATATATTGGTAATGGTTGCCAAAAAATATTAAAAAATTGGGTTATGTACTTGTTTCCAGTCCAATTAAAATATTGGCTGAAGGACTCAGGCTTCTGGATAACCTTGTTTACTCGTGTTTCAGTGTAAATCTTAAGGCAACATTTGAAAAAGACATTAGGTTGTTTAATAATCATAATAAATATAATAAACCTAAGTAGAAAATTCCAAAATAGCAGTTACAGTAAAATTTCAACATTTCTGTAAAGACAAGAATGCTGGATTGGGTTTTTTTAGTGAACAAGCAAGGGAAGCTCTTCACTACTCGTTTCTAAAGGAACCATAAGAGCATTATAAAATGTCTGATAATCTTCAAAAGTACTAATAATATGTTACAGAGTATAAAAGTGTGATGTAATAGTGTTAATAATGAAACAAAATGTCTATTTGAACATGATTTTCAGATATCAAATAAATTTTTTTAACTGAAAATCAAAAACTTGATATTTTTTTATTGCCATGCAACAACTAAAATAGTTGAAAATAGTAGGCATAAATTTGTTGATGATGTTTCTTCTTTATTGATGATAAGTAAATTCTTCATTATTATTGATAATTCAAAAAGTGTTCTTTATTAACAATATTTAAAGTCTTCTTTGAAGATCTCAAAGTATTATAAAACATAATTTTGGGTTTTTGATAACTCATAGCAAAATTTGTTTAGTAACATGAAAAAAAATTAAAAAGAAATAAGTTTAAAAATAATGCACATATTCATGATTCCATATGTAAAAAAAAGTAAAAAGTTTTTAGTAAATAAACAAGTCATAGTTTGGGAAAGAAGGGGCTAGGTTAAGGAATCTATTCATATCCAAGTAATAAGTAATGCATCACATTTTTAACTGAGAAATGATTTTAATTTATCCAAAAAATGTATTTTTATTCTTCAATAGTATTCTTAATATAAAAACTTGTTAGTTTTGTTAATTTATATTTTGTAAATGAAGACTTTAAACAAAAAATACTCAGTAAACATGCCAAAACATAAATATGTAAATGAATGATTTCAAAAGCAAAGTGTATGTAGTATATAGCACATATTAGTAAACGTGTAAATGTACATATATAGCACATAATAGTATATGTATAAAGCGTATGACACTTTTTTTTTGATTTTTCACACTAACTTTCCCTGAAAGTTATTGTTGTAACAATTTTATAAAGATATGGCACACCCCAATATCATTTCATCAAACTAAACTTTAGTTCAGCATGGCTGTAAAAGTCAAACATAACATTTAGTTCAGCATGGCTGTAAAAGTCAAACATAACATTTAGTTCAGCATGGCTGTAAAAGTCAAACATAACATTTAGTTCAACATGGCTGTAAAAGTCAAACATAACATTTAGTTCAGCATGGTTGTAAAAGTCAAACATAACATTTAGTTCAGCATGGCTGTAAAAGTCAAACATAACATTAATTTTTAAATAAATGTGCTGGTGAGAATCAGCATATACTGTTTATAGTTTGTTTGATAAATTCATTTAAAATGGTTTAAATTTATGTTTGAATTTCCTCTCTATTTATTTTCTTTTTTTTTTCATTCTGATTCACTCCCAACAAGGCTGCTAGCAACCACTAATAAAAAAAAGGAATAGAGTTAAAAAGCAAGGAAACAGTTGACAGAAGACATAAAAAGTTGGAGTTTGTATGAGTCAGGAAAACATGATGGTTGGAGAGAGTTCCAAGGGGTTGAAAAGCAGTGAAAAACTAGACAAATTAAAGTTTTTAGAACATGAAAGGATTAATAAATTAAAAAAATGAGATTTTACTGAATGACGAGTCAAGCAAGAATTAGTTTTAGTTGATGGAACTAGAGATAATAGCTCCTTTGAGCAGCTATTATGATAGTATTTGTAGAAAAGAGAAAGATGTGCAACTTTATGACTATAGGAAAGAGGCTTGGCAGATTGAGCGGATCCAACTACATTTACAATTTGTTTTTAATCTAGAAGAGAAAGAGCACCATTATAAGAACCAGCCCAAATATGACTTTAGTATTCCATGCAGAGGTGTTTAAGATATTCATAGAGGTAAAGAATAAAATCAGGAGTAAAAAAATGGTAAGCACGATAAAGAGAAGTCACATTAGCAAATGCTAATTTAGCAATTGATTGTATATAGTTTCCATGAGAAATCAGTATTAAACGATAATCCGGTAATGCGGTAGTGGTGTAGTGGTAGAGCGCTCGCTTCATAAACGAGTGGTTCCGAGTTCGATCCCCACCACGTCCCTGGTAGTACAGCGCTCAACTCGTTTCTTCGCGCAGCGGCCTTGTTCGTCAAGGTTCGTGTTTCGGAGTTATAGAGTTGAGAGAGGGTTATAGCCACAAAATAAGTAGCCTCCTCATCTGTATTGGCCTTCTCGGCCTTGAGGAGGTGAAGTAAAATAAAAAAAAAAAAAAAAAAAAAATCCAAGAAGTTATCTAGAATATATAGGTAAAGAAGAGGACTCAGTAAAAGTTATGACTTTTATTGTTATTTTTTCTGTTGCTAACAATTTATATTCAAAATTGAAATTTATTTTAAATTAATTATTGAAAATAAAGTTGTACAGAAATGTATTGAAGATTACTGATAAAATCTTACAAAATCTTAAAAAAATCTTATCTTAAAAAAATTAAAGATTACTGATAAAATCTTACAATGAAGAGGACTTAAACGAAGGAGAGGTTAGCATTTGTGATAAACTAAAATTCAAATAAATTTTCTAGTTTTGATTTTAATTAAGGTGAGTGGAGAAAAAGGAAAAATGAATCAAGCAAATTGAGCTAACATTCTTGAGATATTTATTCAGGAAAAGTTTCCTTAATGACAATTGTTAAATAAATTAACATCTCACCTGTTTTGCAGAGAGTTACAACGGCATTTCAAACTGCAGGGTTTGATATGGGTGTCATCAAATCAAGTCCTTCAACTGCAGCTAGTAGAATAAAAAAATGAAATTAAAGAAAGTTTAAGTATTGCCAAACAGGATTCAAAATGTTCTAGTAAATTGCAAGTTATCCTTGTAGGTTCTCTACCCTCTTTTTCAGATATTAATCAATATAAAGTAATAATGCAATTGCTTGATTATGGTGTTGTTTGTAGATTGTGACTTGACACAACATTAACACTAGCATTAAGAAAAGAACTGTTAGCACCTTAAGTGTTATAAAATGCATGTTAAGTCTATATAAATAAAAGTAATAAGAAATCTTTTATATTCAGCAAAATGTTTCTCAACTTTTTTTTTATATGGTATCTATCATATAAATGATAAAGCCTCCACACTAAGGAGAAGTTGTGCAGTGTTAAAATAATTGATAGGGAATTATAGAGATATACAAAACTTTTAGTAAGGGCAATTTGATCATTGGATTTTATCAACAGCTTTTTTATTTGGCAATTAAAGAGTTAAAAATTAAGTATTTTATTGACACATTCAAAGATTTGTATTAATTTTGTTTTAAGAAACAATTTTTTTTTCAAAGAAATTTTACTTAAGGAAAAAGATTATTTTATAATCTCTACCTTAAGAACAAAGTATATTTTATTCTATCTCTCCGTTAAAAACAAAGTATATTTTACACCATCTCTACCTTAATGTCAAAGTATATTTTACACTATCTCTGCCATTTTGCTACAAATCTTTTTTTTATTATTATTATCTGGATTCTTCATTAATCTTAATTTTTTTTATTCTATTCATTTTTTTTTAAGGATACAAGCTGGTCAATATTCAGAAGCACTTGAGTTGATGGAAGAACGTTTGAATGATGAGCTAACTCAACTTGGAGAGCGACCTGATGAAATGGCAGATATCTATCAAAATATGGCGCGATGTAAAAGTGAGGTATGATAAAAGATTTTTTTTAATGAATTTTTTTGATTGGTGTATAGTTAAATTGCACTTGTTGAAAAAAGTTTTTTGCATTTATTAATTAAATTTTAGTATTTAAGTAAAACCTTTTCTGTAAAACTTGTCTCTGCAATTGAATACCCTCTGAAAATGGTGTTTTTGCAAAGGGAATAGCCATTACTGCATTTTTACAGTGACCTGTGAGTTGTAAGGCATGGAAGATGTTTCATTTTGATAGTAAAACATGCTTATTTACAATAAGTGATGATCCAGAATATTTGTTGAAAAAATAGTGATATTTATTGAAATAATTTTTTCTTGATTTTTGTTATGTAATTTTTATTGTTTGATTATACTTTTTTATATTATATATCGGGTAGACATGAAAAAATCCAGTCAACTTTAAATTGAGATTTCTCTAAAACCATAAATGCTTTTTATTTCAATTTTTTTATTATTAAATGTTTACATAAATTAGAGTTTCACCTTGATTTTAAGGGGCTTGATGGGTTGCTTGGCAAAAAATTGAACTTTATAGCGGGTTGATGCCATCATTTTACAGATTTTTTCTTTTTTAACCATATTGGTGACATTAATCCCCTTTTTTTGGAAGTCCTTTTTATAATTTTTAGTCCAACTGTCTTGCGAAGAACTCCTTTAACTATTGCCCAAAAATCTTCAATCTTGCGCTCTTCAGGACGATTTGGAGGATTTGCATCTTTAGGAAAAATTTTCACAATATTATCTTTGTACCACTGTAAAACTTTTTTAGAATAGTGAGAGGCAGCAAGATTGGGCCAAATTAGACATCAGTATTTGTGTTTTTTTATAAAAGGCAAAAGTCTTTTTTGGAGGCATTCTTTGATGTAGAGATTGACAGTCAAGGTCTTTTTAGTGAAAAACAAGAGGACTGCATACGGCAGCTACAAATTGCCACACAAGGAACTTGGATGCAAATTTTTCTTGTAGAATATATTTAAATTGATCATTGACAGGTTTATCTTTGTTTTCATAGTAAAACTGTTGACCAGGAAGTTGTGAAAAATCTGCCTTGTAATACGTTTCGTCGTCTTCAATTATGTCCATATTTTTATCTGCCATTATTTTAACCATCTTCTTTGCGCGTCGAATTCCTTTAATTTCACAATTTAAGCTTCTCTTAGGTGTATTAGTTTTATGAAATGCTTTAATTCCAGCATTTTTAAGTACTTTTTTGATATAAGAACGAGAAGTCTTAAATTTTCTTGCTAGATCTCGCTGTGACTGATTTGGATTTCTTGCTATTGAACGTAAAATCGACTTTACCTTTTTGGATTTATGGAAAGTTTTTTTTCTTCCACTTCCAAGTTTTCTTTCAAAGCTTTGAGTACTCTTGAACTTGTTTATAATATCTATGACTGTAGATTTTAGGACATTTGTGCGTTTAGCAATCAAGCGATAGGAAGTCGATGGATTTTTGCAAAAAAAATTCACAACTTTTTTACGCACCTTAACTTGTTTCCAAAAATTTTGCAAATCATTAATTTGTAAACAAAAATTTATCAACACCATTTAAGATAAGGAAGTAAGGTTTAATTAAAAAAAAAATTAAATAAAAAACATTTGTGGTTTTAGAGAAATCTCAATTTAAAGATGACCGGATTTTTCCGTGTCCACCCGATAGTTTTGTTTAAAAACTTTTGTTTCTAAAACTCTTTAATCACAATATGATACCATTTTAAGTATGTCATATATGTTACACTCATCAAAACATGTAAGCAGCAGGATGTGTTGACATAAATGTCAACACATTTATCAATCAAGAATGTTATAAATAAATGGAGTAAAGCATAATTATTTGAAAATAGTGAAACATTTCCAAGTTATTTAATTATATCTATACCATGAATAAATACTGTACAAAAAGAGTATAAGGGGGTGGATTGGTGTATAAAAAGGGTGTAAGAGGGTAAACTGGTGTATATTTAAATTTTATTAGGAATTTTTTTGATAGATGTTATAAAAAAATAATTTTTAAGAAATAGGAATACTAGTCTGAGAGTTACACTTTGTTATATAGGTTTGCAGTTTAAGAATTTTTATTATTTTTATCAAATTTAAAGTTTTCATCAAGTCTAAATTTTTTTTTTAATTAAAATGAACTTAAAAATGAATAAAATATTTTTATTTTTTTCACCTTTAGTTTAATTTCAGTTTTTATTTGCTAATATTTATTGTTATAATATCATATGACAGCATAGTTTGTTAGTTATTGTATATTTGCAAGGTTTTATGTCGACATTAAACTTTATGAATATTATTTAGATTGATAAAGCTCAACAGTATATGCGACCAGATCAATTAGATGATAATAAACTTATTGTTGAGTATGGTCGTAAATGTCTTGCTTACCGCCAACAGTTTAATAGTCCAGACAATAAAGTAACAAGCTCTTTTTGAATTTTTTGATATTTTAAAAAGTTTTGTTTTTAGTTTTTAATAATTTATTTTTTGTAACTAAACAATGCTGTCAAAACAATGTTGGCTATATAAAACTACAAAATTTATTAAAATAGTATCGTTGTGCACTGGCAAACATATTGATTTCCCATCACCTAAGTAATGTAGCAGATATCACTCATGAAACTAAGCCAAGAGAAGAAGCATTTGTAGCAATAGATGCTGCTATTGAAGTATTCACTGAGGTAGATTAGTATATATATGTGTGTTTATATATATATATATGTATATATATATATATATATATATATATATATATATATATATATATATATATATATATATATATATATATATATATATATATATATATATATAATTATACACACATACATTTAATTATACACACATACATATATATTTGTATAATTATACACACATACATATATATTTAAACATATAATTATACACACATACATATATATTTGTATAATTTTATATATATGGGTGTGTATGTATATCTATCTATCTATCTATATATATATATATATATATATATATATATATATATATATATATATATATATATATATATATATATATATATATATATATATATATATATAATTATATATATATATAATTATATATATATATAATTATATATATATATAATTATATATATATATATAATTATATATATATATATATATATATATATATATATATATAATTATATATATATATATATATATATATATATATATATATATATATATATATATATATATATATATATATATATATATATATATATATATATATATAAAATATACTTGAAATATGTTTATAACCAATAAGTAAAAAAAGTTAGTCAACAAAATAAACAATAAATGAAACATTTTCTTCTTTTAATTTTACAAAAAATTACACTAATTATAAATTTTAATATTTTAGCACTAGAGGTCTTTCAAAAAATCATCAGTAGTGCTGTTTTTGTTATCATAACAACAAAATATGATTAAAAAAAAAACAAACAGGAAATGATAATTATTTAATGTTGCTGTTAGCAACTATTGTAATCTATATTGTAATGTCAATTAAAAGTATCATGTTTTTGGTTGTGAAAATGCTTCTCATAAGAAATTAGGTTTTTTTCGTTTTTTAGCTCACCGGAAAAGCAAATAACCTACGACTTCGTACAAACGGGCACATTTCTAGTTGTAGAACTGGGCAATCAACAGATAAGTTTGATAACCATGTTTACAATTGTCAACGTGCGCATAACTTATTTGTTCGAAGAGTAATTTTTCTTTAACTCTATTGTGATCCAATTTAAAAATTTTTAAATAAAAAGTTGAAGAGAGTGAATAAAATATTGAAAAGATTAAAAAACTTATTTCATTTACTTTTCAAGTGTTTTACACAATTTCTACTTTTCCAGGATTTTCTGGAAAGTTTGGTAATATTATGTTGTTACTTTTTTTTAGTTGTTATTTTTAATTGTGATTGAAAAAAAGTCAATTTCTTATTGTAAAAATAAGTTTTTAAATTTTTGAAAATGATTTTTCAATTTTAATTCAAGAATTTAAAATTAAAAAAAAGATAGTTGAAAATAGTTCAAAAATTTTTCATCAACTTGTTTAAGGTGGTACTTTGTTGAGGCTCAAATTATCATATATTTACTTAATAAAGATTTTAAAGTATTTTCAGACTGGAGAATTGTAGAGGTTTTTTTAATTAACTAAAGAAAGCAAAAATTTGTACTCAAAAAGCATACAAAAACACGTCAACTTCAAATAAAAATAAAAAAATAAAAATAAAATTTCTTATTACAAGCAAAAAACTTGCAGTGAAGTTCTGTTGTTTTAAAAAAAGATAAATCTATCAATATATATAAAAAATAATAGCGCATACAGTTTTAATTCATAAAATAATTTACAATTTATGTGTAGCAACTTATATTTTTAACTAATTTTTGTTTTTAAATTTACAAATCGGAAAAAAAAAATTCATCTTCAACAGGTCATATAAACTTTAATTTAAAAGCTAATACCTAATATAATAATATAATATAATAAGCTAATATAATAATGAGATAAATATCATTTTATTAAAGCTTTATAAGTGTGGAAAACAACGATTACCATTAAACCTACATTAAACACAATTTTTTTAATTTTGGCACACTTTTTAGTTTTGACCCACTGTGAAATGGTCTGAAAAATTTAAATTGCAAAAAAATTGTGGGTTGATGTAGTGATTAATTAACACAGTTGTACAGCTAAGAACTTTGGCTATTCACCATTAAAAAATCACTCTAAAAAAATTTCATAAATTTTATAAAATTTTAATTTCATAGATTTTATAAAGTTTAAATTTCTTTTTTGACTATATAGTTTCTTAACTATAATTTTTATTTGGATTTTTTTAAATTTGTTTCAAAAACATTTTTTATACACAAGTTAAGTAACATTTTCTAATAAAATTTTTCCTTGAAAATTTAGTAACTTTATTTAAGAAAAACAAATTTATCAGCTTTCCATTCAATAACTTTGTTTATGTCATGTGGTTTATTGTTTAAATTGTTTAGATAATTTGTCTAAACAAATGCCAATGATCGGTTAGCGTAAACTTATTATATATTAAATATTTACTTTTATTAACTTATTCATTAATACTTATATATTAAATTAGCTTCAGCTTATTCAAAAATAATTAAAAAATTTTAATTATTCAAAAATCGATTTAAAAATGATTTACATGCTTGAGTTTTGCTTTAAATAAAGTTAAGAAAAGACTTGTTTGATGAAATTTTTTATTGTAAAAAATAATTTCATTGAACAAAGAAAAGATTTTTTGATTTTACACTAAACATAAAGTTAATTTACAAATATTCTCAAATCTTGAAATTTTTTATCCAAGAAATCGCGCTTGCTGGTTTTTACTATTTTAAAGTAGTAAAAAAAAATTTGTAAAATATATACAAAACTTGTAAAAAAAATTTGAAATTTTTGTAAAAGTTTTTTTCATTCTTGTTCTTCTTCAGCACAGCACTGAGTCTCTTCTTCAGCATGGAGCCGAGTCCCTTCTTTTATTTGTTTAACTTTCGAGTTTTCTTCATTTTATTATTTATCAAAATTGCATTTTCATAAAAAGTTTTTTATTTTCAGTTTTTTATTCAATTGTTGTTAATATATAAACTTTAATTATAGTGCAGTTTAAACATATCTTTTAATTTTTTTTTTCTAATAAAAGAATTAACTTATTTTTTAAATATTTATTTTAATTAAATTTTTTTTTTGACAATTGCTAATAAAATGATTAAAATTAATTTTTTAATTGATTTTAATCATTTTTTAATAACTTTTCAACCAGCTAATATAAAGCTAAAATAATGCTGTAAAATTGATTTGGTATTAATTACAAGTATATGATTGAAAAATATTTTTGTTTTGTTTTAGTTAAATGATATTGGGCACATTGCTGAGTGTTTGATGACAAAAGCAATTATTGATTTCAATCAACCATTCCATATAAGAGAAAAGGTAAATAGTATTAACAATATTCAAAAAAGTAATATTTCATAATTTGATAGTAAACTATAATCTAGTATTAAAAGTATATATATATATATATATATATATATATATATATATATATATATATATATATATATATATATATATATATATATATATATATATATATATATATTCATAATTTGATAGTAAACTATAATCTAGTATTAAAAGTATATATATATATATATATATATATATATATATATATATATATATATATATATATATATATATATATATATATATATATATATATATATATATATATATATATATATATATATACACACACACAGTTTGAAAATTATAAACCCTAATACCAAAAACAATTCCTATGAAAACCCTTTTGAGGGGTGTTAGTACATATGATAGGGATCTCATAACAAGTAATTTTGAAATCAGGGATTACCGTTCACAAGACTTATTTGACTTTATTAGTTTTATCTTAATGAAACGCTGTGACTTTTACTGAAAAGTTTTTCTGACACAAGTTTACACCACTTTTTTAAATATAACAAGTATCAAAAGGTTAAGAAAGTGTTACTTGATGGTATTTGGTGTATTTTAAAACACCAGTGTGATTTTTTAAAATTCTTATCACCAAAATAATTCAACAAAATTACGACGATTGTTTTCCGGGAAAGGGCTGCATAGATATCATAGTTATCAAGAAAATTCGTAGAGTGCATCAAAAATGCCCAATTCAGGAAAAACCCATGAGGATTGTCGAAAATCTGTGTGCATTATCTGCATGAAGAATAGAGACCAAGTTCTGACAGACTTTTTAAAGCAAAGGATTCAGCGCCTCATCAAGAATGATCTGAGCTTCAATGACTGCAGAGTTCCACTTGCCTCATGTCAGACATGTCGTTTTAAACTGAAAAAGCTTGAAGATGGGGATCCTAAGACGTGTAAACCAAGATTGTACAGGTTTGAAGACATCCAAATAAAACAGGCAACTTGAATTTCAAACACCTGTGATTGTTTGATCTGCCAAATTTGGAGGCTCAAAGGTAAAGAAACTCACCCACTTGAGCAAAAAGACCAGCCTGCAACAACCAGTCAGCCACCTAAAAGTTCAGAAAAACGCTGTACAAAATGTTTGTCTGTTCTCTCACGAGGCCTTTCTCATCATTGCACAATTGGTTCATGCCATGAAAACTTGAAGCAACTGGCATTGTCAGATCCTAAAGGACCTGAACAAGTTGCATCTTCCATTGTTGCATCCAAGGAAGCATCTCCTGGAGGAGCAATTTGACAGTCAATCGAGTGGGATGCATCTTCCAATCAGAAAAGGTAAAATGTATACTTACCACATTCTTCTTTAGAGAATGCTAATAGATTTCGTTATTTAAGGTGGTGTTGTTGCTCAAGAGCTTTTTCTTTCCAGACTTTCAACAGGGGATATGGTTCAAATTCAACAGAATACAGGATTGTCTAACAACGGAATGAGCAAACTTGGATCGTTCATCAATCATATCAGCCCAACAAGATTAGTTGAACCAAACTTTCAAAAAAAGTTTGCTGAGTCTGGACAAAAATTGCAGGACTTTTTTACTGTCAGCAGCTTGAAGATTTCGGATTCTGGAGAAAACAGGGTTGTGGTTCATTGCAAAAGCATTAATTGAAAGACAGGATTGAAGAAGAAATTGGCTCCTCAAAGACTGCCTTTGCAAAGATAGGTATTGATGGAGGAGGGTCATTCTTAAAAGTAAGCATTGGAGTTATTGATGAGGAAGAAAACAACCTAGAGCCCCACAGTCCTGTCCAATAATCTGCCAAACTCATGACACAAGTCTCAAAGCAAACTAGTGTTAAAAAGCAATTTCTTGTGGCTGTTGCTAATGACACTCCTGAAAATTATTGGAATGTGCAAGAGATTTTTCGACTCATCAAGCTTCAAAAACTAATCCCATCAGAAGCTGCAGTAATTTCTTGCATTATGAAACTTGCAAACATTATTTGTGGCATCCAGTCTCATAGCAGCAAGCACCCTTGCTGTTGGTGTGATATTGAGTCTTCTTCATGTGGGAATCCCCGATCCTTTGGAGCTTTAAGAGCTCAACATCAAAGCTTTGTCGGTAGTGGCGGAGATGTAAGAAGATCCAAGGAGTTCCAAAATGCTGTCCACAGTCCTTTAATCTTTGGTCCTGATCAAGCACTGATTTTGGAGTTCATCCCACCTATAGAGCTTCATCTTCTGCTAGGGGTGGTCAACCATCTGTTCAAATGCTTAGTGCAAAAATGGCCAAAGGCCACAGAATGGCCAACTTCATTGCACATCAAGATTCAGCCTTTTCATGGAGGGCACTTCAATGGCAATGACTGCATGAAGCTTCTGAGGAAAATTGACAAATTGGCTGAAATGGCTGAAAATGAGAGCACTTCTGAGCCATCTCAATTCATTCAGACATTTAAAGACTTTCACAAAGTTGTCTCTGCATGCTTTGGAAAAACTTTACATCCCAACTATGAGGAAAAAATCATTATCTTCAAAAACAGTTACATGAGTTTGGGAATCTCTGTTACTCCAAAGGTTCGCACTGTTTTCCACCATGTGACACTGTTCATCAAGCTGAAAAAGAAAAGCCTTGGTCTATACAGTCAACAAGCCACTGAAGCACTGCATTCGGATTTTGGCAAGCATTGGGAGTGATACAAAAGATTGAACACCCATTCAGACTACTCCAGTCAACTCCTGAAGTGTGTCATTGGTTATAACAGCAAGAAAATGTAGAGTAGCTTGCTATGAGGCACTGACCATCAATGAACATGTTGCATTTTTGAGAATTTATTAGTTTATCTTTAGAATGTATTTATTTTGTAATAAACAAATGTTTTAAGATATATTTTTATCATTTGTTACCTGTTTACTTCATAATATGGTAATTTAGGGCAGCTAAATATTTTTGGAGGAATTTTGCAATTTTTCAGGTTTCGTAATTTAAAAGCAAAAAACTTCAATGTTGAATAAGTCTTGCAGACGGTAATCCCGGATTTCAAAATTACTTGTTATGAGATCCCTATGATATGTACTAACACCCCTCAAAAAGGTTTTCATGATGTTGCTAATTGCACAATCAACCAAAAAAATTATTTTGAATGATGCCATAAGGCCTTCTCAGAATAACAAAAACAAAAATCATGCTTAAACATTAAACTGTCATTTTTGCTAGAATTTTGTAAATCTAGTTGCTTGTACAAAATGTTGAAATCTTATTGATCCTTAAAGTTGTTCAAAATGTTTCAATTTTGTGTATGGTAATTTTTTATATATACTAGAAAAAAAAGTTTGTGAAGAGTAGTTAAGAACACATCAAATTTTAAATATAATTCTGATCCACCTTAATATTAATTTATAAATTAATTTTGAGCTTTTTTTATAAAAATGTTGAGTTTTTTTTTATAAAAATTTTTTTTTTAAGTTACTATTGCAATCTTTGGAATACTGTATTAAAGGATATGGTGAAAAACATTTGCTTACAACACGAATCTATTTAAATACTGGAATTGCTTATGAGATGGCCGGGAATCGTACAAAAGCCTTTGAATTGTTTATTAAACTAAAAGATACTTGTCTGGCAGTAAGTTAATTTTCTACTTGAAATAGTTTGATTTGAATGTGTTTGTGCGCATGCTTTTATATATATATATATATATATATATATATATATATATATATATATATATATATATATATATATATATATATATATATATATATATATACACACATATATTAATAAATATATAACATATATTTATTAATATATGTATTAATATTAATACAACCTCGATATAAACCAAAATCATTTTTGTTGAAAAACAGCAAAAGTTGATCTAAAAGAAAAATCCTAACTTGTTTGCAAACTTCCGCGCATAATTTTTAACGGTGGCAATACATGGAATAAGAAAAGAGCGGGATTGTTTGATGTTTACCATGGTAGCCTATGAGGGCGCGTAATATATATATATATATATATATATATATATATATATATATATATATATATATATATATATATATATATATATATATATATATATATATATATATATATATATATAATTTTTTATAATATTAGTTTTAAAGAATCTGTTTAATAATCTCAAACAGTGAATGTGTTAAATAAGTTTTAATAATCCAGATGTTGTTCTTGAAAATATGGACGTAAATTAACGTATTAGAAATAAAAAACAGTCATTAACTTGCATAATTGTAATTTGTTAATTTAAAAATATTCATCCTTGTAGGGGTGCCATATTGCTGCTATGCTTATAGTTTTTTGGAGAAAGTATTTTCCAAAAAATATAATTAAAGCTTTTCTCACTCTATTTGCAGCAATTTTGCTTATTAACTAAAACCGTCAAGCCAAAGATGAACCTCATCGCTGAACACAATTTAGTGTTCAGCGATGAGAGAAACCTCATAGCTGAAAACAACGGGTCAGTTACTAACTGCTATAGAGCCCAATCGGCAAAGGAGTGACGCATATAATGGTCTTGTGGCTTTAATTTTTGTACCAACTGGATCTTATATGGGTGTAGACCAAGATCTTTGCTCAAATTTTTCCATGTCATGGACAGAGCCCCAATTTCTGCTACTGATGACCAATTGATAAATTTGGATTCTCTTCCACATTTTTGTTTACAGCAGTGATATTCTCTTCAGTACACACATTCCTTCGACGAGTTGATGTTATGTAGTACGAAATCTATCTACAGTTTGACGGATTGCTTGCTCAGATAGATGATTATGTGCTTTACAAAATTAATGAAGTTGTCTATAATGGTTCATTTTCAAAGTAAATTTTAATAATTTCATAGCATTGTTCAAGCATGAGTCTATTCATGGTTATTTGTTAGAGAATACTGAAACAAAATAAAATTGTTTATAAAAATTTAATTTTTTATATTAAAATTCTATCTGTTATAGTCTTTATTCTCCAACTTGATATATGACCATTTTTGCGATTTCTCAAATTTTTTACCTCTTGCATATAAAGCAAGCTTGGTCGGGAAGCGGGTGCGATTGCACTCGATAACTGACCACGGAAATAATATTTAGTTGCGAAAAACTGGCCAGATTTTTTAGTCGTTTTGAGAACATTTAAGTTCACGTATGTTTGCTTGTTTGTTCGCAAAATAATTATTAAGTTATTGTAAATCTTAGAATATTTTGTATTACGGACTTATACAGAAACATAGATAAACTCAAATGTTCAAGAATGAGTATTCAAAAAGTACTAACCGAATGTTCTAGAGTATTCTGTTTAATTATTTTAAAAAATTGTATTATTTGAGTTTTGTTATGTTTTCGTCGAGATTTCTAGCATAATGCTTTTTTTAAAATAAAAATTTGTTTTAACAAACGAACTTTTATTTTAATACTATGTCATTCTCGAAGCCACATCTACAAAGCTATAAATGTTTTAAACTAACATTAATTGTTTGCAAAAATAAATGTTTTGAATTTATGTTTTTAAGTTCTTAGAAAGAAAAGTTTTTAAGTTCTTAGAAATTGCTTAACTAACTTCAATTATTTTTGCTTCAGTCATTCTTGCAAACTCGTTATACTTAACTCTTTTCTGTTTTAAATACTAATTAAAATTATAAAGCCCACTCACTAAACATTATCAGCGGTAATGTTAAGCAGTTCCGCTTCCTCCTCACTAACAATTTAACATTTTTAGTTAATTTCTATCTAGTTAATTGAATTTCTACTGTAACTCAGCATAAATCAGTTATTAAAAAAACCTTTTTATTTATAAATAAATCATCTATAGTCTGGTCACTACATGTAAAAAAAAAAGGAAAACTAAACATTTTGAGTGGACATTCTGATTTTTACACAGACTTGTTCCTTATAACTTAAGAAGTTTAAAAATTTTTACGTGCCACTTGGAAAGTGCTTATAACTTAAGTTAGAGACAAAAATTGATGCAGCTTATTGAAAAGATTTCAAACATGATATATCCGCCATGTTGTTTATAATTCCAATACCGCAAAGCATTAGTTTAGTTTTAACTAGGGGGTTAATTGTTTGTACAATTAGATGTTTTAAATATAATTACTCAAATCTATGTAACCAAAACTTCATAAACCTTATTTTAAAAAAAATTTGTTTATAATTTTTTTTTTTAATATTGTATTAAAAATATGAAATAATTTTAACTTAATAAATCTAAGAAATAAAAAAATGTTTCCGTTCTTTGTTTACGTTAAAAAGTGTTTACTTTTCAAAAACTGTTTACTATTTTTTATTTTATTGAAGTTCTTTTTAAAAGTAAAAAATTACTGTCATAAATAAAAGAAAAAAATTAAAGTCATTTTTATAAATAAAACAAATATTTGCATAACAAACTACAATCATTTTAAAAGAAACGGTTGTTGCAAAAATATAAAACATAACACTAAAAAAACGTGTTTTATTTTTATTTATTTATTATTATTAAACTAAATAATGGCAAGTAGCCAAAAAATGCAGCATTTTAATCTGGTTCCTAAAAAAGAAATTAAAAATGCTATTATTACGACCAACTTCATGGTGAAGTTGGTCGTAATAATAACAAACTGTGTGGTTTTACTGAAAATGCGCTTGCGAAAGTGAAGACTTGTGGATTGTGACTTGCAAACCAAGCATTGTGGCTTACAATACTTGGTAAGTCACAAACTAAATGTACAACTCAGTTTATTTTTTTATATATGCCTTAAACGATGGTACGGAAAAAACAATAAATAGCATAAATTTGATAATAATATTTTTTTTTTTACTATCGTCAAATTTGAAATGACTTTAAAATCATAAGCATTCTACCTGAAATTCAGGTCCGTATCCAGCATTTTTTGGTCTTCGAGATATCTAACTTTTAGACATGGAGCAAACTCCAAACATTTATATGTTTATACTTATGTCAAATAAGGATGCTTTGCAAAAAATTGCGATGATTTGAGCTTGGTAACAAAAAAGGCTCCAAAATTTGTGCTTCCCCTGCCTTAAACGTGAGAACAACAAGTTGATGAAATAATTTTGTACTATTTTTAACCAGACTTTTATTTATCAATAAATTTTAAATTTCATAGTAAAATATTTCAGCATTCAATAATTATAACAATATAAAATTTGCAACCCCCTCAAATTAAGGGGGGTTCAAACTTTATATGGTCAAAAATCTCGAAGACCAAATAATGCTGGATACGGACCTGCTGATACGTGCCCAACAACTTTCTTATTTCATCAAAGAAGTTACGATAAGTATGTGAATATAAAAACATTAAACATTTTATAAACATCGGAAAAATAGAGCAGAAAATGTCAACGAGAGTGTAGGCATGGATAATGCATCCTCATTTAAGCGTAGAATCTCAGATCGGAAAAGAGGTAAGTTATAAAACCTTTTAGTGTGAAATGCAAAGCAAAGAATATTGCCCTCAGTTTTCACGTTTTTTTTATGTTTTATGTACTACTTCAAAATTAAAATAATTCCTTTGTTTCATGAAAAATTATTGCGGATGAAAAGTGTTGCATTTGCTATTGCAAAAAGACTAATAAATATAGGAACAGATATAAAACGCTTACACCCAATGGGCACCGGACCTAAAAAAGATGTCTTTTTGACGTTCAAAAGACGTCCAAAACGTTCAAAAAAGGTCCAAAACAAGTATAAGACATTTAAAAACGTCTTTTTTACGTCGTGCACAGATAGAGCAAAGATTCTAGATAAAAGGACTTTGCAGATACTGCACAGATAGAGCAAAGATTCTAGATAAAAGGACTTTGCAGGATGCTGTAGTTGCAGAACTTGCGGGTCTGTTCAGTTGCGGTCACCAAAATAGGGTATTCTTTCTTATGCAACAATACCATTGAGAAGGGGAAAATAATCCAAAACTGATTGAACAGCTTATCCATCATGTCGCACAAAAGATTCCCAGCAAGGTTTTGTCTTTAAAAAAAACATACTTTAAACTGCCTATATATAATGCATCTATTGGTTTCGAAACCGTTTGCATTCACACGGTTGACACAGATATTGCTATTTACGCTTTGTACTTTCAAAACCAACTTCAAATAGAATTGTTTGTGGACATTGGCGTCTCTACTGAAAGACAGACTCTTGATATAAGTCTTATTGCCTCACAGCTAGGTACTGATTGTTGTAAAGCTCATCTTGCTCTTCATGCATTTAACGGGAACAATTATACAAGTGCATTTTACGGGATTGGTATGTCAAAGTTCCTCAAACTAATAAGACAGTCTGAAGAGTACAAGTCAATTTTTCCAAGGTTGGGGACTCTTATACCTTTGATGTAACCTATTTTGACCAAATCGAAAAGTTTATATGTCAGTTATAAAAATTATAATGCAGTGATACAAACGAAGGAAGATACCTTAAGTTTATTGCAAAGAAAGAAGCTAAGGAACCTTAAAAGTTTCTGCCAACTAGGGATGCTCTTATGTGTCATTGCAAGAGAGTTTTGTATCAAACAGCAATTGTCAATTAATCAGTGGAGGCAAATCTCAATATTCCAAAACCCAATGGATATAGATGGCGAGAAATTGGCAATCAACTTGAGGTTAAATTGA